GGCTTACAAGTTTTCTCTAATCATGTTTCCCAACATTCCTTTCTATCCCACTCAAGTGTCTATTTTACAATAGTAGGCAAGGGAAACTAATATTCATAAAGCAGTCAGAGATTTTAGTATTATTTACCCTTTTTAAGCTATACCTAGATCCCTGTATCCCAGAGCCCTGTTGTCCCAAGGTTGAGTATGCATCACTATTTACCTCTGTCCCACTAGGCCATGCGATCCTGTTTCAATGTTCCCCTAGCAATCCTGTCTCAGTGTTCCCCTATCTATCTTGTTCTTCTGACTCCCCCCCCTTCTTATATTGCCCTCCCCAACACCCAAAATAAACCCCCCACCCTAACCCCATTGTGGTTACCTTCTATTCCATTAGTTCTACCCTCCATTTAAGACAGTCTGTTTTATCCTGTAATCTACCTGATCTTCCCACCACCTGGATCTCTGTTCTTCTGTGTTTACCTTCTTTCACATTGTAGTTGTTTTGATCATAGACTGACCGCCCAGAGCCTCTGTTCTTATAATTTTATTCTGTTCTTGACTCTTCCATTTGTCAATTGAGTTCAGGGTGATGCTGCCACGTACGTCATTCTGTAGTTGTTATGTGTTCTTGTTGGTTCTCAGTCCACAGAACTTCCTTTAGGATGTTTTTCATAGCAGGGTTGGCTTTGGCGAAATCCCTTAGCTTTTGTTTATCCTGGAATGTTTTGATTACACCATCATATTTGATTGACAGCTTTGCTGGGTAGAGGATTTTTTTTTTTAAATAAATGTTTTATTGTGAATTATGTGATAATTTACATTGGAGAACATTAGTTTTACGTTCATTCTATTGTATATCGTTTCATTGCCACGGTTACAATCCCCTCCATGCATCATCAACCAACCAAAGGGTATACCGTGCAAGCCTGCCTCCCCTGCGGTCATGAACACACAGCTCCTCTCCCTCTCTGGATCTCAAGTCCCCAGCTGCTCCATCTCTCCATGTCATTGTCTCTGCCTCCATCTCAGGCATCACTGCTTCTCTGGGTAGGGTCCCGCTCTCCACTCTTCTCCATTGATGGACCTAGGGACCTCCGCTCCTAGACTGAAAAGTTAATCACTCCCTTTCTTGCTATAAAACGTCTACCTTTACATTTCCAACCCTCACAATCAGTCCTGATAACAATTATTCATTATGGTATCACAAGAGACCCATCTGCATTTCATTTCATCAGCCCTGCCTAGACAGGTTGGATACTATACACTGGAGATTCTACCTTCCTCCACACCCTCTGGATCTAGGTTCCCTCTTGAAAGCTTGTAAGCCAGTCACTTCTTGCCTTTGTAGCTCCCCTTCCCCCATTTTGGGTTGCCAATGTCCAAGTTGCCCATCCCTGTCTACTCTGTGTGTGGAGGAGGTGGGAATGATTATTGCAGTAAGGATTTGTTTCCTCTTTTGAGCTACTGCTTCCATAGGTGTAGGTCAAGTTCATCAAATTGTATCAGATTACGCTTTTTTTCCTCTTCTTTCTTCTCCTGGTTGAGCGCTGATCATCCAGTCATTGAAGCCAGGTCAAGTAGGTATTATCTGAAAGTGTGGGTGTTCTTGCACATATCCCCTCTCTTATCTTTAGCTGGACGCTTCACTCTGCACTCTAGTCCTCTGTGGCTGTGTCACTGACTCTGGGCCCAAGAGTCCCCAGGTCTTGCCACACTGCTGGCCGACCAGGTCTGGGTAGAGGATTCTTGAATGGCAGTTTTTTTCTTTCAGGGTTTTCTATGTGTCTCCCCATTGCCTTCTTGCCTGCATGGTTTCTGTTGAGAAATTTCGAGCTTAGTCTGATTTGCTTGCCTTTGTATATTACATTTCTCTTTTCCTTTTCCCTAGCTGTTCAAGATCCTGTCCTTATCTTTGATTTTGGAGAGCTTGATTATTATATGTCTTTCTTTTAGGGTCTCTCTATCCTGAAGTTTGTTGAGCTTCTTGAATGCTTATCTTTTCACTTTTCAGGATGTTAGGAAAATTGTCTTCCAGAAGCTCTTCAGTGATCTCCTCTGTGGACTTGTGTGATTGTTCCTGTTCCGGAATGCCAATAATTCTTAAGTTATTCCTCTCCTTTTTTGTGTTTACTCTTCTATCTTAGTAGTGTTGAGAGATTTATCTTCTAGCTCACTAGTTCTGGCTTCTATCTCTTCAGTTCTGCTCCTTTGCCCTTTTAGTTTATTGTCCATTTCTGATATTCTATTATTAATCATTTGGACCGCTTTCTGTAGGTTTTAAATTGTTTCCAATGCTGTATCTATCTTATTTGATTGTTTCTGTAGCGCTTTCCTGACTTCTTCCTTATTTTTCTCAACTCCATTATATAGTGTTTTGATACATTTCATAATCATTTTTCTGAATTCCTTCTCTGGCATTTCCAAAGCCTGCCCATCTTCCAATATGGAGTGTAGTTCTACTTCCAGCTCATTTGCCTCAGTCACTTTATCTCGTTTCTGGACATGTGCAGATATTATCTGCTTCTGTT